ATCTGGTAGTATTGGAAAATTATATACTGGAATAAAGCTGATTATATATATATATATATATATATATATATATATATATATATATATATATATATATATATATATATATATATATGGGCTCAACTACATTAGGTGGCAGAGTTTCTAAAACATTTGAATATGTTGAGAAAAGTTTGATATTCGACGGTTTTAATGAAGAGGAAAGTCATGGGGCAGTTTTTTGTTTATCAAAGCTAGTTATTAAGGCACAATTTCTGCTCTGATTTTGAGGAATGACCTATTAGGACTGTGTGTGTGTGTGTGTGTGTGTGTGTGTGTGTGTGTGTGTGTGTGTGTGTGTGTGTGTGTGTGTGTGTGTGTGTGTGTGAGGAACAGACTGGTGATGGAGATACCAATGTTGGATAGTTATGAGTCGAAAAGGCTGTAATACTCGCTTGGCTTCCAAGTATATCTCTTATAAATGGCGTCTCTATTGACGAGAAAGAACCATTAAACTCAGTGCATCAGGAACTGAGGTCAAACGATGACGATCAGAGATTTATCTGTTTGTCTGAGAAGTTGTTCGATCAGTGTACATATATGATAGCAGGAAGGATAACTGGGTGCTGCCATATTGGCGTTGGTATACTCTGATCCAATGGCAGGTGCAGAGCACTATGTTATTCAGTAACAAAGGTAATAATCATGGCGGAATGGAAGGTTTACCGAGAGAGAGCAGTGAAGGAGCCCTGGTGCAGGATAAGAAAATGGATTCAGGAAGAACATGGATAAACATTTGTTAAGCACAAGCCAGTGTTTAAATAAATAAGGAGCCAAGATGGAGAGCCAGTGGGAAAACTAGAGACTAATTTAAGATATATACCAGAGTTGTTACATTCTTGTACAGCCACTAGTACGCGTAGCGTTTCGGGCAGGTCCCTGGAATACGATCCCCCGCCGCGAAGAATCGTTGTTACAACCAAGTACACATTTTACTGTTGCGTTAAACAGAGGCTACAGTTAAGGATTTGCGCCCAGTAAATCCTCCCCGGCCAGGATACGAACCCATGACAAAGCGCTCGCGGAACGCCAGGCGAGTGTCTTACCACTACACCACGGAGACTAAGTGGACAATTTATGTTGTGGAGGTGAGTAAAGACTGGAGATGCAAATTATAATTACAGAAAAAAATATAATAGTGAAGCGATTGGTTTTAAAAGCAGGGAAGAAAATAACGCTTTGCTGAGAAACCTTGAGGAGAATGTGCGTTAAATATCTTATCTGTACGAGAAAGCTTTGTAAAGCATAATTAAGAACCGAAACATTTCTAATTAAACATGAACTATAACAAATGTGGTGAGAGCATTTAAGAGTAATTTAATAGCTAAGAGAAGGGAAGCGAACTATCAGGTGATAGCGCCACATGCAGAATTACTACAATGTGTTTATAGACAAAAATATGACAAACGAGGAACAAGAAAACATTAGAAGAAATGGAAACAAGCAATTTCTGGAAAAAGGGGTAAACAAACAAACACAGAATGGCTAACAAATGCTCAAAACCGTGCCATTTAAGTAAAGAATACCCATCACTATATTACCACTACAACTCCATCCCTCTCATAACCTATTCAATCCCCCCCATCCTTCCCATTACCTATACAATCCCCATCCCTCATTACTTACACCATCCCTGTCTCTCCAGTTACTCACACTACCTCCCCCGCTCCCATAATCCTATCCATGCCCAACCCCAGCTTTAATGTCTCGTCCTAGTCCCGCTACATCACCGGACCTCCTCCGCGCCTCGACCCTCTAACGGTCTAGCCGTGGTGATCAGGGCTAGATCACTCTCTCTCCCTCCCTTCTTAATAACTCTAATATCTCATCCAAGCGCTCACCAGCCTAAGCCTGTAGGCGAAGGGACTGTACCAACCATTACTGTTCCGGGACTTGCTTAGTCCCCTGTGTTGTTCTGGCCTAGTTGTTGTCAGAAACCCGCAGCTTCTTTTCATCTAACACCCGCCAACCTACTTTTTATCTCCGAATGGGAGGACCTTTGACAAGTCGCAGGCTTCCCTCTTTTTCGTCGAGGCCACTAGAGAGAATGGCCCTAAGGTAAATTTAGGTAAGGTAAACATATTTAACCCTGAAGAACGACCCCTACGCCTGCTCACCACCTCAATTTTCTAACCTCACTGAAAAATCCCTCATTAAATTTGTACATACACGAAAAACATTTTATATCTTCCCAGAATTATTCAAGATAATAAGGCGCCTTGTTATTTTTAACTAAGATTTAGTTGTGAATATAGTTACCGTTGAACAAATTTACAGTTTTCTGTTGTGACTCATACATAGAAAATGAGCACCTCTCGACACAGTTTGAAGATAAACCATACTAAATTAATATTCTATAGCAAGTTAAATTAATTTTGTTTAGGAAAGGCAGCCTATATATGCATATATTATATATATTCTAGACATCAGTCGAAGTCCTCACCCAGACGGTCGAACTACTGATCCTCTCCAGCTAAACATGCATGTGATAAGCCTGAAATCGAGTTGCATATGGGCATTCTAATCTCTGCTAATTTCAGGAAATTAGGGAAGACAGACGAGCAGTCACTGACAAACAAGGGCCAGAAAGCACGAGTATAAAGAGCTATGACATGTTTAGAACCGAGAATTATATGTACGGCAGCATAAAACATCCACTAGACAATGTGACATTGTTATTGGCAGAATTAGGCTGGGATATCGATATCTATGGCTGCTAGGTGGCTGCAGGCAATGAATCTCTCAATTGTGAACATGCCAATTGTAAACCATGTGAACAAGAGCTGGGACATACTCTCTAACACTATATCTGTGATTGCCCTGTTATAAGTGACTTCAGACCAAATAGTATGAGGTACTTGGAGTTCTGTAATTACTCCATACACTCAGGAATATTGGAAGATATTCTTGTGCTGTACCCATATTTTGCTAAGGGGGGCTAATAGATCAGCTATTAGCTAATAATATTTCATAGAATTTTGAGGACATTCTTAAATACAATTTTTTTTCTATTGTCAAAGTTCCCGCAGTCCCTGAAGATATTCATAATTTTAAATTTCCGTATTTGGGTACAGTTTGCTATTATATACGAAGAGAACTTTGCGATATTGTTAGACAATCAAAATATTAATTTTCAGTGCGTTTTTACCAATAACTACACATCTGGGAACTGTTTAGAACGTCCTTTACCCCTCTGACCTCAGATCTTGCGACGTTTAGCTCCAAGTATTTGAGCTGTAATGTTCGATACGTGGGAAATACCTCAGGAAACTTTAACACCCCAATTGTGAACAAAAAGTGTATCTCTTACCGCACTGGATTGCCTCTTAGACAAGTTGCACTCGCTGCTATTCGGGATCACTGTGAAGAAATGGGCCACCTGTTCACTAGAGCAATTTCACTGTTCTGGTTTCCAGTTCGTTCCGTCTGGAACTCAACATATTGGAATCCATTTAAAAATCTAGAATGAGATCTGAACTGAACTTCCTGAAGTCTTCGACTCGACTGTTTACACACTAATTTATGCCTTGAAGTATGTTGTTGTGCCTTTTCTTGTTTTATTTGTCTAACGTTTGTATAATTTTGTTTTTTACTTTGGATATAATTTAGGTTAGGTTTTATTTTTTAGCTATTTAAAGTCACAGTGTTCAAAGTCTCGTGAGGTATTTCGAAATATTCTAAGACATACTTATCCATAAATTTGTGTTAAATTTGTCTTTACTAACAACTACACCATTGAAAGCCAATTAAAACATAGAGATCCACTACTCTTTGAACTCGAATCTGGTGCTGTCTAACTATATAAATATTCGAACGATAATGTTCGAGACGTAGGAAATACCTCACGAAGCTTTTAAAATGCCGTATTTGTGAGCACATAAATATTCCTTCCCTCTAGTCTGCCTCTAAGGCAAATGGGCATCCTCTGTTATTTGATCTCACAGCGAGGATAAAGGACTCCTCCTTCTCCTCCTTTCGCCTACAATAGCGAGTTCGCTGTCGTCTAGTTCACCACGTCTGAAACTCATCGAGTTGGAACGTGTCTCATTGGCTAGATCGAGACCCGAGTTGAAAGGCTCCGAGTCCTTGACTTAGTTGTTCAGCCCGTCCGCCAAACAAAGATCCAAAAGTGATTCCATGCACCCGCCAAACCCCCTGTTTATGAATGAAAAGCGGTTTACACACGACTCACAACTGCTGAAGTTCGAACATATCCGGAACAAGTGTTTCACTGACGAATTTTGTTCGAATCACAACGCTGTAAATGCTTCACCCACGTACTACAAATACAAATAATCGCCAACAGAACCTAAACACCTAACCTAACCTATGCCTATATATGCACAATATGCTAATATATTATAATATTAATTTATACTTGAGAAAATTCCCGTTTTGAATGAACAGCATGTTAATAATTAAAATTTATGAATGCGTCTGTGGGGTTGACCCCTGGATGTAATGGACTTGAGTCGTGGACGGGTTGAGTTGTTTACACAATAATTGTCGTCGTCTGTCAATTACGTCATTGAGTTTCTTTATATAGTTTATTTGTACATAGTTTATTTTAGGATTTTTATTTGTTAGTCATTTTAATTGATTTAATTAAAATTTATTTCTGAACTATATATTAATGGTTTAATATATAGTGAACTATATATTATATCCTTTAACCTATATTGCGTTGAACATGTTTCTTATTTTTTTTGCATTGATGATAAAGTTATGATTTGGAAATACTCGTTACTTTAAATCAACTGAAGATGGCTCATGTCTTTTCACTTATTAAAATTTTCACAATAAAATTGAATATATATATATATATATATATATATATATATATATATATATATATATATATATATATATATATATATATATATATATATATATATATATATATATATATATATATATATATATAAAACAGCTACGAGGAACAACTAAATAAAACTCACAAATTTATTATACCCTTTTATTTCTAACTTTAAGAAAACGCAAGGAGAATACATAGACGAGACACTTTTTTTGTTTCCAGAAGTTCCAACAAAAAAATGAGGATACAATATCTTGGTATGAGAGAGAGAGAGGAACCCGTGTGAAAAACCTACAGAAGACACGGGATGTAACTTACCAGCATTTCAGATAAAGTTTCCCTGTAACTGTCCCATCCTCTGAAATGTCTAGTTAACTAGACTTCCGATGGCTATAATCTGTATTTACAAAAATTCCCTCGATGATAATGGATATTATTGCTACTCAGTACTATAATTTTTCCCCCCTTCCTCTTAAGGCTGGTGGCATTTCTAAGAGAGAACAAAATGTAAGGGACTCTAATAGTTGCCGATAATTGAGAAGCGTCTGTATGTAAGATCCCACTTAAGTAGTTAGCAGCCAAAAATGCTGAAAAAAGTCATTATATGGTTTATAATGATCATTGTTAAGCTATTAATATTACCTTTTTCTTTTACATAAATTATGTACCTGAATTTTTGTGTAAACGAAGTCAATTATAAATACGCAACCATTTCTGAATAAAATTTCTGAATTTGTATAAATGTAAAGACTTGTACATTTCTGAATAAAGATAATAAATTCAATTCATTTAGAAAATGTGGAGTTTGATCTTGTTTTAATCAGCATCTTCAAAGATTTCTTCCAAAGTATATCTTCCTATATGATATAAATACTATAGATTATCTGGAGAAATAATAATTTAAACTTCAAAATCAATCTCCAGTCGTCACATAAAAAAAAAAAACATTTCTGCTTTGAATTACATCTGGCAGACTACATAGTACAGATTTTAAATATTGAATCGCGCTTACATTTGTAATAGAGGTGTTTAGAAATGTACTGAAAAAATAAAAATAATAAAAAAATATTGATAAATATGCTAGATCCTGAGTTTATGTGGCTAAGTCGCTTCAGAGTCCGCTAATGGCATCAAAATCTTAGAGAGAGAGATTAATGTATCCGCTGAGTAATTAAGCTAGGTCGAGCGAGTCTTGGCCCTAAGCTCGTCCCCCTCAGCAGTTCCTCTCGTCTGTACATGGTTGCCTGTGTGTGTATATATGTGTGTTTCATCAACGCTGTCAAACATCTGAAAGAGCCCCGGCTATCGCGTATAAAACTGACTACGGCTGATCACCAAGGATTCGTACTTCTACCTATGTACAGTGCAAATTTTCGAGTATGTACACGTCCTTCAAGACTCTTTCAAATAAAAAAACTAAGTCACACACAAAAAAAATTAGTTTCAAAGTTGTATACCCATGATTTTGATGTTTTCACTGTAACCCTTAACAATAATGTAACATTTATAAAATATGTCTATTGAACGAAAAAAACGTCAACACTCCCAACGAACTATAAGTTCATCTCTTACATGGTACAGAGATTGATGAAGGAGAAAAACATGCCTCTCACGGGTTGATGATGATTGATGATGCATAACAAATGTGATGATTGATGAACGGCGGGAACAACTCCTCATGAGAAACATCATCAGTGTTTTCCTTAAAATAAATAAAAATAAATAAAGTGACAATAGATTCTAGCTAGGATATCTTGAAGTCTTGGCATCCAAACCAATTAATAAATGAAGTAGAGGGACAAAAGCATGACTATACATGACAAATTCTCTATAAATATGTCGACACTGAAGGCACTCATCTGAATGGTTTAGCTATTCCGACTTTTGATTCTACATCAATTAGGCAAACCATTGACTAGCCTTATTGTACTCCATATATTCTTGACTAGAAACTGACTAAGGATCCATTGTGGTAGGAATGAGATGGAAGTGATTCACACCATAACCACGGTGGTAGGGATGAGGTGGGTGGTGGTGGTTGGCACACATCACAACCATAGTGGCAGCGATAAGGTGGTGGTAGTGGTGGTAGTGGTGGTGGTGGTGGTGATGGCACCAGTGTGATAAAGGTTGGTGGTGGGACACAACACAGCCAGAGGCTGGGGAAGAGGTGATGGAACAATGTGTGTGTGTGTGTGTGTGTGTGTGTGTATGTGTGTGTGTGTGTGTGTGTATGTGTCTGTGTGTGTGTGTGTGTGTGTGTGTGTGTGTGTGTGTGTGTGTGTGTGTGTGTGTGTGTGTGTGTGTGTGTGTGTAGTAATATCGATGGCAGACAAAACTACCCCAGTGCCACATATTACAACGCCGGCACATGCCTTACTCTGACAAGGATGAGGAGGTGATGATGGCACGCAGTACAATCACGAAAACAAAATCCATGTGCTGTAGAAACAAAAACGCTTAAAAGTAAACATACAAGGAATGAGGGTGGACTTTGTTGAATGACTGCCAAAAATTGTAGCAACAGGCTGCGTTGCGGAAGAAGTGGAGTAACATACTAGCCTGCGAGAAGTGTGGACAAGTAGCCAGGCGAGTCTCTAGCTGACGAAGGCAACATACCTGGCATCTCCAGATGTGTCCTACACCTGTAACCCATCGCCAGTTCTGACTAGAGTCATCACCTTACAGGCTACACAAAATGTGGTCAAACATCGCAGTAACACGAGCACCACCATGCCAAAATTGTAGTTTGTGCAAAGATGAAACCAGAGGTCTATGTGAGGAATGCTCGTGTGTCACAATGACTGGAGGCCAGGCGTCCTGATGTTAGGGGGGCGTGGGACGGCCGGCCCTCCTTGTCTTCGCCGTGTAGGTGACGGCTGCTGGGCGATGGTGACGGCTGCTGGGCGATGGTGACGGCTGCTGGGCGATGGTGACGGCTGCTGGACGATGGTGACGGCTGCTGGGCGATGGTGACGGCTGCTGGGCGATGGTGACGGCTGCTGGGCGATGGTGACCGGGAGTGATTTTGGTGGCAGCAGCGGTGGAGGTGATTGATGTTGGTAGACGACGCCAGTCAGAGTCCCTCGCGCGGTCGTGGTGTCCGGGCCGCCTGGCGGTGAGTGGCCAGGCTCTCCATTACAGCCCAATGCCGGCCTCACTAACAAAATAGGGTTCAAGCTCTTGGTTCCGGCCCGTCACGACACCGCGACGTAAAACCAAAGACCGCTTGCAGACCGCTTCATTTCCGCGGCACAAACCGCGAACCTTGAGTCGCAGCTGGTCATTTAATCAGACAAAGAGGGGATGATTTTGTAGGCTTCAAGAGTCGAGATGAGAACGTAGAAGATCCATAGGAAGATCAAGAAGCACGATGTTGCAATCTTCGACCTCCTGGGACCGCCCAGCTCGCCGCCAATACTTGGGTGCCGTCTGGCCATCATGAGGGCGATAGCTACCAGCGCCTCCACACAGAACAACGTCACGGAGAAAGCCAAGCTGCGGGAAGCAAAAGTAGATTTAGGATAAGCTTGTCCTGCATAGCCACAAGAGCAGATACATCCCGCAATCCTATGGCGAGCCCCGTGTGTGTGTGTGTGTGCATGTGAGTGCATATATGTGCGTGTGCAGTCGATGAGTCACAATAACGTGGCTAAAGTAAGTTGACCAGACCACACACTGGAAGGTGAAGGGACGACGACGTTTCGGTCCGTCCTGGACCATTCTCAAGTCGATTGTGCGTGTTGATGTATGTGTGTGTGTGTGTGTGTGTGTGTGTGTGTGTGTGTGTGTGTGTGTGTGTGTGTGTGTGTGTGTGTGAGTGTCTCCTCGATCTTGTATCTATTTTTTTCGTGTTCAGTTCTGGTCTAAAAAGTATGCAAATAGATTGAACAATGCAAATTATCACATTAATCAGGGTCTATCACCCACCTACATGTTACATCACCAAGCTACAAATTCTATCACCAAAATTGCATTTGTTTCCATTTACATGAAGTTTTCACACACCTCAAAATATTAATAGATAACAAACGTCAAGGGAAAACGATACTCACTTGCCGGGTAGAACTACGAATTCCCTGCCCTTAACGTTGTGATAGATAGCTGCCATTGTCCACGCAATACCAATACCCAGGAAGACGTTGACAGCGTTGGAGCCAGTGACGTTACCAACAGAGGCGTCAGCATAAGGATCCTGCTGGGCCGCCACCTTAGAGGCGAAGGTGTCTAGTGGAACGGTTAAACTCAGCATTACACAGGTTGAAATAAAGGAACTAAGAATTGCTTTTTACTCTCTGATTTCAGTAAAACTTCTCTATCGCTAAAAAAAGTATCTTTTGATTAAATTAGTACATATAGATAGTGAATAATATGTAATATAAGTAATATATGTTACATAGACTTCTCAATTTGAGTATACAAGCATTATAATACAAATTTTGCATATGATTATTTATTCCGATAATACTGTTGATAAAACAAATTTCAGCCCTATTTTGATCTAATTGAAAAAAACAATCACTATAGCAATTCTGATGAGAAGAAAATTGTAAATACTACCATTTCATATACGAGGTCCAAGAATCCTTCGAACCTGTGAAGACTGTCATGCTATTAGTAACAGAAAAGCGGTAACAAGGCAGGTGATTGGCAAGCAGGGCAGGTGCCTCTAGTCTCCACCACAAATGTGTTCAACACTTACTCTATTAAGCCACTTAGTTATAGTTCTTCAATGCTTTATTTTACTTGAAAAAGTAAACCAATATAGTTATACTTTAACGTTTTCTCTTACTAACTACTACTTTAACGTTTTCTCTTACTAATTGCTGAGGTAAACTTATATAGTAAGTCAATACAGTCATTCTTCTTTAGCAGTTTCACTTGATAATTACTAAAGTAAACCTAAAGTGTAACTGCTTCTTAAGTAGAATGCACATGCCTTTGAATATTTTTTAAATAAATGTGTTTATGGCAATGCTGCAGAGAACTGAATAACGCAAGTGAACAAGTTGGTGTGAGTAAGCAGGAACTTCACCAAGTTCTGTATCTCTCAAACTCAGCCTTAAGAGCGTCGTTAACACAGTGAACACCAGCGTATATAAAGAGACGCATCTCTCTATATCCTCACCCATGTGAAATAATATATATATATATATATATAATTTTAAATTTTGGTTTCACTGTTCTGATTGTACAACTACTCTCTCTATGCTACAGTATATCTATTATTTGTCATTAGTATTGCAACTATTACTACTGACTGAAATCTTTCAAATATACGGAAACTAGTTATGTGATATTTATCTATATTAATATTATTATTTCATTCTTTTGTAAATTTATTATGTAAACAAAGTCCATTAAAAAAAATGCCAATTTTGTTTAAACAAAGTTCTAGAATTAAATTGATATCAATCTCGAACACAATAAACAGGCCCCAATAAATACATCATTGTGCCCATGAGCTAACAGCCTCAATTGTTAAACCAGCCGGACTGGGTCTCGCTAACTACTTGCATTTTCACTCACTGATCTGTGCCTCTTATCTGGATCACGACGACTCAGACGCTATATAAACTCAGTCGCCAGCCCGAACTATTAGTGAAACACTGATAGTAGATTTTCATGTCAGTATTTTACCTGTGCAGCAGGCGAGCAACTGGCAGGATGAATCTTTCCCACGGTATAAGGTCAATAATTTTTTTCAAATGTAAATGAATGTTATTATATATTGTGGGTTTATATAGCTATTATATATTGTGGGTTTATATAGCTAATATTTTGTGGGTTTATATATAGCTATGTATTGTTAAGGTGAGAAAAGGTGTCCTGATTATATTTACCTGTGGAGTGTTTACAACACCGAATGAAAGTGAATGAAGCACGTTTCGAATCATAGCTTCGAGCACGGTCACTAGATTGTAAGTCAAAAACTGCCTTACGTAGATTTTAATAAGTATTTGACATAAATTATGAACCTGACAGCATTTTGTATTGGTAATGGGCTGCATATGGTAAACAGTTTGCGAGTTCGTAAGCACTGCGATGTCGTACTCAACCTACTGTTATGGACGGACCTATAGAGCACTCCGGAGCTCGTAAGTTGTTGAGTAAATTGGAGGGCCAGATTCACGAAAGCACTTACGCAAACACTTACGAACCTGTACATCTTTTCTCAATCTTTGGCGGCTTTGTTTCCAATTATTAAACAGTTAATGAGCTCCGAAGCACCAGGAGGCTCTTTATAACAATAACAACAGTTGAATGGGAAGTTTTCATGCTTGTAAACTGTTTAATAAATGTAACCAAACCCTTCAAAGATTGAGGAAAGATGTACACGTTCGTAAGTGCTTGCGTAAGTGCTTTCGTGAATCTGGTGATTCACGAGACTTTGGTGGAATGGCGAAGACAAGAGGCACGGATCTCGTAAGCGGATATGTAAGTTCTGTTGTGACTCCTGGCCATGCAGGACCCTAGACTAGAACTAGAGGAGCGGCACCTGCTCTGTTACCGTGTATGTGAGGCATTGTTCCCTGCCGTAGGTAGTCGAAGTGGAGGGGGAGGAAGTGTTACCTGGCACGCTAGTCCCGAGGGCCACAATGGATATAGCTGTCACGGAGTCTTTAAGGTGGATAGTGCAGCCGAAATGAATGGCCACGTCGCCGATTAATGCAGTCAAAAATCCAATCGCTGCTATAGAGATTACAAAACACGACCATCCACCTTGCCGGTCTGTATGGGGTGATGTTGGCAGGAGGTTAAATTGATGTGGTGATGAGTGGGAGTGGCGGCGGGAGACCTCTGGATACACTCGACTTTGATAGCACTTTGATGTATCACACAAACCTCAGCAAAAATTTTATAATAACTCAAATTAGCGCTGAAGTTCATTATTTGTGTAGAACATTGTACCATCAAAATCGAGGATGTGTGTTATTAGTAGGACGTATCTAAGGATAAAGAGGATATGAGAGCAGGCGTAACCAATGGGCAGGAAGCGGTACCTGTTGAGGATATCAGGTCAATAGGAGGGGTGCAAATGGTGCATAGTCACGGGTAGGAAGCATATACTGAGACTCAACAGTGTGTATATGCAACAACCAGTCTTCTCCGTGTGGGTAGTGGTTCTCAGAGCGGCACCACGCACACAAGTTTTGGTGCATTTAGGTCTTCGGTATAATCAGGCATTATTTTGTCTACTTTAACATAGCTGGGACTCAAATTTAAAAGCGCGGATGAAAGTTACTCGTCGAGAAAGCGAGAATTAAAGCTCTTAAACCATCGTTAAGTTTAGGATGTAAATAGAGTTACAAATTATTTGCACAAACCTTGCAGCTTCAAGGCGAACGTAGTACTGTATTCAAGGAAATATCAGTCAAGACTGTCAAATTACAGGAACTAAAGTGAACGATCTGAAGCTTGCTGGACGGGCCTAGACTCTAATGTCCGGCTCTAAGAAAGGTACTTATAATACGCTACACGCGGGACATGAAGCTATAAAACCCGTAAGTGATGCTGGGGAGGAGGCCGAAGTAGGCCTACCTGGCATGGAGGTCCCGAGAGCGACAAAGGTTGTAGCTGTTACCGAGTCTTTGAGGTAGATGGTACAGCCTACGTGGCTCGATATGTCACCAATCAAAGCAGTCAGAACGCCCACCGCCGATATAGCTATGAAGAAGCAAGGGTACCCGCCTCCCATAGCTACGTGGTCCGCGGTAGTTGCAAAGGACGTTGTTAGATGGCGCGACATGCAACAAGAGGGAAACTTGACAGAAGGATCAATAGTCAAACATATTAGGGACGAACAATCAGTTGGGAACAACAGGCAGTTGCTTCACACATGGTTACACAATCCACACGAAACTCACACAGTAAGAAAATTAATGATTTATTAATAGCACATCTTTTCAACCAGAATATCACACCAGGAAACATAATTACAGCACGACACTCATTAATCACTCTTGCAAATCGTGCTGTGAGAAATCCAATCCACATTTCTCTAATACACTTGACATGCATGTGACTTTGGTTCTTTCATGCCGTAAGAAGATTATACACAGAAGTGCTAATCCTAATAATAAAAATGTCATATTAGGCTTCAAGAAATCCAGGGCATAGAGGGATGACTAAATTATAGTTGGTACGTTGAGATATTAAACACGACGTGAAACATATTTTCAAGGGTCCAAACCATCTTCTAACCCACCAACACGCATCTAGCGACAGTGAGACAAGGCGTTAACATTTCTCCATCAAGAGTCCTTGAGCGCAGACAAAGGTTTAGTGCGAATATACTACCAATATATATATTACTACAATAGAATAACCTGTTCACTTGAAACAGATTGCCGCCTTTGTAAACATCGGACATTATCCTACATATGTTGGTACTTTCTCTAATTGTTAATCTAAGTAACACATGTTTCCGGACAGTATACTTGGGTATACCTCATTATACATGAAATAAAAAGGCCGGAACAAAACATGTACATTACAATGAACTGGAATGTGTGAAAAAAAGCTCTAGAAAGCTTTGACTGATTCATATTAATGTTTCCAAATTACCTGGAACGCTCGTCCCCAGAGCAACAAAGCCAATGGCAGTTACTGAGTCCTTAAGTCCTACAGTGCAGCCCACGTGCGAGGCCATGTCCCCAATAACAGAAGTAACCACGCCAATTGCAAATATGCTGACAACGAATGTCGGGTAGCCCATCAGGATGTCTGAATTCGATAAAGCAAGTAATTAGACTAATCTTGTAGTATACGCGAGTCGAATTAAAATATCATTCACACTCTTGGCAAAAAAAAAAAAAAAAAAAAACGGACCTTCCAAAATTAATTTTCAGTTGTAAATGAAGAAGTGCACATGAAGGATAGTTCAGCAGAGTGCGCTAAGTAGCTGAAGATAGCTTAGAGGCCTCTGAGAGGCAGCATGAGGCATATGATTCTAACAAATGGTTAGTTCGGAGTGTTAAATTCTTATCAACAATTTAGTGGAGTTAAACTAAATTATTTAACATAACATAGACGAGGGGGCTGGCCCATTACAGCAAAAGGTAGAATACCAAAAGTGTTCGAAATTAAATGATAATATTATTTGTGATTCTGTCAGCGTTAGAGAAGTGTTCAGATATCCAAATCTGAACGTTGATTTCTATGAACGTATGAAATCTGAACGTATATTGCGTTGGACAAAACATTCAATTCTTACTGACAAATGTTCATAGTATGTACACGGATTTTCGTTATCGGGATCTTGTTATTAAAAGCAGAAAATCATATTAACGTGAATGAATTTTGGAATCTGTCCAAATTATTTTGCCGTTTTAATAATAAAGTCGAAGTTGGTGAATTTCTGTGAGAGTATTACAAGACCAAATTCGTATTTCTTGATATATTATATTCAGAATAATAGCCTTTGCAGAATTCGGAATTTTGTGTTGAAATAAATAAGTAAATTAAACAATACACACAAATTGTTGATCTGAGATAAGAAAAAAATGATCGTATGTTTGATACGAACGTCTTGGGGAGAATTATTTCATATTCACCAACACTGTAACGACATGACTGGCAGTTATTTATTTACATAACCAATGACACGTGGATAACAATGAGACGAAACGACCACCAAACATTAACCTTTGGTGTAGTGCAGTTATGATCAAGGCTCTCATGATGATGTCACATAATAGCACTCCATCATAAGTTACAGTGAACCTGACACTCGAGTGTCATGGAAAGGCTTGAGTGTCAACTGTGTCACCCAGACAGTGGTAAAGATAAGTGTTGAGCTGGAACATAATCTAAACACACGCCACGATGGTGTCTAGGAACACACACATATATATATATATATATATATATATATATATATATATATATATATATATATATATATATATATATATATATATATATATATATATATACACACACACGATGTAGGTATGTCGTTGCAGAAAGAAGATTGGGAACCACTGATCTTGAAACAAGTCGTAGGATTGAAGGATAGCAGAAGAAGTCAACGACAATTTTATACGAGTAAAATGCGTTAAAGTGATATAAATTAACCTTTTTTAGGTAGGAAAATGCAGGACACATTCAAATTGGGCGTAGGAATTAAATTATATATAACACTATATACCACACGGATGGAGAATAACAATCCATTCAAGGGGGGTGATTTATTTAAGGATATCATGATTCAGTCGCAGGAAGACCACTCTCAGACCATGTCGGCTCAACACCACGCAAGCTCAGACCAACTCTTTGGACCACAAGTAACACTAAACCTTCCTCTAGTATGGGACTTACTGTTCGGCTTAATGGTACGTGTTCTTAAAAAAAATGTTGAATTGTCTACGAAAACGTACCATAGCCCAAGAAGGTGAGAACAGTGCCCATAGAGGGGAAGTGATTAGTGCCATCTGTGACCCGAACCCGGCCAGGAGTGCCTATCCTCTCAACATACCTGGTACACTGGTGCCAAGAGCCACGAAAGCAATGGCAGTGACTGAGTCCTTCAGACCAATAGTACAGCCAAAATGTGAGGCAATGTCACCAATAAAGGCAGTGAGAAGACCAACTCCAAAAATTGAGATAAAAAAGGTGGGATACCCCTTGCCGTATTCTGTTGGTTGAGGTAAAGAAAATGGCATAAAGGAAAAAATTAGCGATTTTTAACTTCTTTTAAAATATGATTTTGTACCTTAAATTAAACAAAAACATTTTTTATTTGTGTGTAGACGGCTTGGTGTAAGAGAACGAGTCCCCCATCACCTGTAACTGCGTCTCCTGCACTGATCTTGTATAGACCTGGTATCAGACCTGGTATCAGACATTATGATCAACATAACCTGGCGCGGACTGTGTTAACCTTTGCCAAGAAAATATTAGTGTCTGCGTGGAGGTGTCGCTTTGTTCTCATGGCGACAGTTAATACACTGTGAGTGAGATTTTTAGCTGTGATTAGAATCGGGTCACAACATCCCGAGGTCAATATTTGGCTCAAACGATCAACATAAGCTTCATGCTGCTGCTGTTGCGTTTCACGTAAATATAATCTTGGGCTAAGATATAGATATATAACTTTATATGCACATCAACATTACTTCAGTGAGAAGATAATGTGTACAAAAGTTTCTCGATATAATGTATGATGGAGTAACGTTTTCTGTAGCTGAGTTCGCAAGTCTCTCAATAACCCAGAATAGGAAATATATGGAGGAAGGATGATCTATGCCCAAACTAGTAGTCACAATGTTATTAACGCATGAGCCAGGCGATTAACGGCGCCTCTCCCCACCCAACAGACTCGCGGTGCAATGCAACACAACCGAGGATCAATCAAGCAGCAACACGGGTCCACACCGCTTCAGTACCGGTACTATGGTGGCCCATGCGCCCCTTGCTTGAACACGTCCGGGTCGCATCCCACCACCCTAGAAGGGCGGGGAGAGCTTGTCAGTACTGAGGCCCCTAAGTGAGCAAGCACGTTACCTGGCACACTTGTCCCCAAGGCAACGATTGCGATAGCTGTGACGGAATCCTTTAAACCAATTGTGCAACCGAGATGAGAGGCTATGTCGCCAATGAAGGCGGTAACCACACCAATAAGTAATATTGAGATCCAGAAAGTGAGCCAGCCGTAGAGATACTCTGTTGGGAGAACAGTAAAGGTGAAGGGCATCATGGTAGGAAGTCACAGGAGATCTACCGGGATGCTGCTAGGGAGGCTGATAGACGGGGGATGAGACAGAACTTTTAATTTCACTGCATAAATTTTTGTAGAGGATCCTGAATAATAAAAGTTTGTGAGGAAAGAACGAGCAAAATAGATATCTAAATGATAATTAGAGTTGTAAAGAATATCACTAAGTATTGAAAAGAAAGGTTTTCTAAAAAAATATTCTACAATGTATAACATTAATTGTAATATAATTCAAGATATTTCTAAGACATGGCAAGTTTTTCCACGTGATGAGTGTTAGAAAAATAACATCTTGAAGAGATCGTCTAGACAAGACAAAGTAACCTCAGTCATAATGCTAAACAAAATCTAAACAACAGCTCTTAACAAATTATATATTTACACAAGATGGTAAACTATTATGATAATTTATGACACTTATAACATAAATATGATATTTTTGAGAACGTAAACCAGATCAATGATTCAGTCTAACATATAGAGTTCCACATATAATTTTTTGCCAACTAGTCACCTAAGTCAGGTTTGAAGAACCAGGAAGCCATGAACCGAATAAATCTTCATGTTATATTGTCTGTCTGTAAATAATGCAGATGCACTTATTTTGCTCTATATGGAGGCAGTCTCAGAAGTAAACAAGGGATAAACTAAAGGGCCTTGAAGGAAAACGAGATAATTAATTAAAACAAATACAGTAAGAGAGAGAGAGAGAGAGAGAGAGAGAGAGAGAGAGAGAGAGAGAGAGAGAGAGAGAGAGAGAGAGAGAGAGAGAGAGAGAGAGAGAGAGAGAGAGAAAGAACAGGAACTGGCTACGAGGACACGGCAGCATTTGACTCTTGCATTACCAGGTTGCAACATAAGCCCATTAGAAGCACTGGTGAGCCATAACTCGGCTCTCTATACTACTGTGATGCAGGCACAAGACAAGCGGATATATCAGTTGGGTTATTTCGTACTCAAGCCGGACTCTGCTGTGACATTATTGGGTTTTTATCGACGTTCCTACTGCATGGAATCGGTGTAGTTGCTGGTAATTAGTTCAGTTAGAGTTAGTGTAGTTTAGTAAGTTTATATGATATAATTTTTTTTGTTCCTGTCTGTCTGTCTGTCTGTCTGTCTGTCTGTCTGTCTGTCTGTCTGTCTGTCTGTCTGTCTGTCTGTCTGTATGTCTCAGCCTTTCTTTCTCTCTCTCTCTCTCTCTCTCTCTCTCTCTCTCTCTCTCTCTCTCTCTCTCTCTCTCTCTCTCTCTCTCTCTCTCTCTCTCTCTCTCTCTCTCATTTTTTTACTAAAACTAACAATAGAATGGAACTGCAAGATAAGAGCTATCATTCTACATCTCTCTCTCTCTCTCTCTCTCTCTCTCTCTCTCTCTCTCTCTCTCTCTCTCTCTCTCTCTCTCTCTCTCTCTCTCTCTCTCGTTCCCGCTTTCTCTCATCTCATCTCAATAACTAAATATCATTCATAAATAATTTGTTATTTTTTTGTAGGGTGTGAAGCACTAAAAAAATAGCTTGAGGAAAAATACATATGTTATTAAAATAATTAATGAATAATGAATGTCGTATAAAATACCTTCATATCTGGAAAGAATTTGCATTAGCAGAAGAATAAAGTCTGTGGTTAATGTTCTATGTTTATAACACTTCACGTACCTAATGTTTAATTATTAAATCTATAATAGCAACTTACTAGAATATTATATTCAATATCAACTGAAAATTTATTAAAAAATGCACACATAAACACAAGTAATCAAAACCATATATATCTATAATATCTATGCATCTATCTATCTATCTATCTATCTATCTATCTATCTATCTATCTATCTATTCTGTATATATTAGTGAAGACGCATGGCCTTCAAGAAGAGAATATACGGCACTCAAAGGGTGTCTAATGAGGTTTCCACATGTTCACTTGTAAAACACAGGTAAAAACTCAGTTGTATAAAACATCTAAAGTGATTATGTGACCTTTTTACATCTTGTTCATTTGACTGAAAAATCTGAGGAGTGAAAATTTGCTCAGTTCCAGTCAATATGGTGACCTTTTCTGACTACTATGTTGATTACATTATTGTTTTGACATCTAACACTGTAATTCTGTCACTTTATATACATTGCATGAATTTTCTCATGTTTATAATTTGCCACATGTTCTACATAAATTTTTTTTTTTGATAGGGATATTCCTGTGCTGGGCCCTAAGCCTTTGGCTGGCCCACTGTTGCATTCAATATTTTTCATTCTGCAAATCTTTGAGATATTTTTGCTCACCGGAGTTCCTGCTGAATTATTTTAAAGGAAAACGCTAAATTATAAGTGTTAAACGGCCAGATTGTCAAAAAAGTGTTTAACGATCTCATTGTATTTATCTCATACATTTGAGTGCCTTATATTTTCATGTAGCATTGTGATATTGAATGAGAATATATTATGGGCACTGAAATATTTTGCTGTTTGATCGTCAGGTGATTTAATTGAAAAATTCCTGAGAAAATCAGGAAAGCAAACTGTTGTCCAATGGATGCTCCTGATCTGTTGAAGGGCTGCTCATAACTAGTCTAAGGGCTGATTTTGCTCAGTTCAAGGGCTGATCATAACCACTCTGAGAACTGCTTCAAGCAAAACAACAATTTTGATAACGTTGACCAGACCACACACTAGAAGGTGAAGAGACGACGACGTTTCGGTCTATATTGTCTTCGGTCAAGACAATCGACTTGAGAATGGTCCAGGACGGACCGAAACGTCGTCGTCCCTTCACCTTCTAGTGTGTGGTCTGGTCAACATACTTTAGCCACGTTATTGTGACTCATCGCCTGCAAATTTGATAACCTTAATTTTCTCAGTACAGAAACTCAGTGTCACTGAAGCTGTTACTTATAAGATTGCTGTGTACATAAATTTCCCTGTAGTGCATGGAATTTATTTTGCATCGATCAAACGGTGGATTCGATTCCAGGACAATAATATCATATTCCAACATAATGACAGAGAAGATCATAACTATAATTGGGACCCCTGTAAAAGGATTATTAATTTTCAAATGTAGTGAAACCCAATAATAATGAATCTTGTTATCACTCAGATTTAAGGTCAGAAATGTAAAGATGTTCAAAGGTCACTTTAGATGTGGATTACTGATCTTACATGATTAATGATCTTACATATTTAATTACTGATCTTCCATGCATGCTATAGCTATACCTTCATCTGACCATTACCCCACAGGTTAGCTTGTTCTCACCTCTATAGGATTAAATATCACACTTTGGTACATATAGACAATTGTAACCGTAATGGGTTTTTCACATACGTAAATTCATACGTGCATTAATACAATTATATATTCATATATACTTAACATTCATATATACACAAATGCATTCCAAGAATACATACATACACAAAACTCTATCACACATACAACCTAAACATATACATACGGGAAACAATATGGAGCAAGAAACAATAGTTTCGAGTGCCATTTAGTATTGGTAGTGAGGAAGTATGTTGAAGCGTCCCAATATGTGTATTACCTTCATGTATGTGTTTTTTCCACAACACTGACTTTGTTCCACACACATTAATCTCTTCCACACACGCTCATTCGTTCCACACGTGTACTTATTTCTTCCACACATATATTTATTTGTTCCACACACATGCATTCATTTGTTCCACGCATATATTGATTTGTAATAGGCATATACATATTTGTCCCACATGCATATATGCGTATTCCACATATATAGTTATTTGTTCCACGTACACGCATTTATTTGTTCCACACATACCTTTTTTGTATAAGATACACATGTATTTATTTGTTCCACACATATACTTATTTGATACACACACACACACACACACCCCTACTAGTTCCAACCATATTTACATTTTCAGACACCGAAAGTATATTTTTAGTTGTATTAAATCTACTACCTTCAAAAATAACCCAAATATTATACCGTCAGCATTTCCAAAACTACATATGGAGCACAGGAGATGAAATCTGAGGAAAAACTTACATTAGAGAAATGTTATATCATTTATCTACAAATATGACGAAACTTGGAAAACCTTTTTTTTACTGACAATTTCTGATATCAGATTTGTTTAAGTGCTACACCAATATATATATATATATATATATATATATATATATATATATATATATATATATATATATAAGTTGAATAATAATATAATAAAATATTTTTATTATATTCTCTTTAGATGAGACGGTGTGAGTAGTGTAATGAAGACAAAACCGAAGTTTTTCTTACCAGTGGGCGGCACAAAGGCGAAGAGCACCTTCCAAAAGACGGTGATGAAGTGCATCACGTAATCCATGCAGGAGGGCAGTTTCTCCTCACCTCCTTCTTCATCCTCGTCGTCATCTCCTTCTTCGCCTACAGGAAGGAGCAGGCGGGAGTTATAGTTACGCTCGCGCGAAGGTACAGTAAGGGGGGTTAATTCAGCGTTACATTAATGAATGTAGACTAATGAGTATTAGTGTATATGAGGATAGTGATGAGTTATGAGTGGGTCTCAGGGAGGTTTGAGTCTAGATATGATGCGTTGGTACACAAAATGAGTCATGAATTTCCTGACATTTGTCTCATATGGTACGTGCCAAATGAAATATAAATTTGTGATTTATTTATTATGAGCTTGAAAATGTATTAGTGAAAATCTTACAAGATAGAATTTTTTTTTTCAACCTATAAGCGATATTTTTCTTGCTTTATCATTCAGAATATTTCTCATATGTCCACGAAACGAATATTAAATATACTTATGGTCACGTGCACATTTAGTAAAAATATAAAATCAAAAACGAAAAATCGTAAAACATTTGTCCTGAAAAAAAAAGATCAATCTGAGATATTCACATATAGTAACTTTCTCGCCATGTTAACCAAAGACTAAAAACAACAGCAGAGTCACAATAAAAATTATAAATAACAGAGATGACAATCACACATAACAATAACACCAAATCACAACAAACAACACAGAGGAAGGTGAGACCACGGAAGTGCTTATAACTTTAGGTAAACATACCAGTTGAGGGAATGATTTAGAAGTGAGAGTTCTGTTAATATAGTTATCAATTACAAATGTGAATTAAATCATGATTATTGATGACCATAACTCCACACACATTAGAAAATGAAGAAACGACTAGGTTTTGGGTCGTCCTGGACCATTATCAAGTCGTGTTTGGAAATTTGAAACCAAAGGATAGATAATTAACTGAATAAAAAAAAGGTAGAAATAATCAATAAATTCAATAAAGTTAGAAAAATTCAATAAATTAAATGAAGTTAGAAAATTAAATAAATAAAATATTTGAACAAATAAATAAATACAATAAAGTTAGAAAACTTAAATAAATAAAACAAAGTAAGAAAAATTAAATACATAAAATAAAGTTAGAAAATAAATAAATAAAATAAAGTTAGCGAAACTAAATAAATAAAATAAAGTTAGAAAAAATAAATAAATAAAATAAAATTAGTAAAAATTAAATAAATAAAATAACGCTAGAAAAATTAAATAAAGTTAGAAAACTTAACTTAAAAATATAAATAAGCATTAAAAAGGCATAAAAACAGGTGTTACAAATATTACACATGATACAATATATATTACATCGGACAAAGCGGGAATAAAACTCTTACAAAGACACAGTAAGGATGAGTCTCAAGAAGACACAATGGGGGGATACAAATTTTACAAATAACGCATTAGAGAGGTGTTAGTTGGACAGTGCAATAAATGAGTACATTTACTACAAAGACAACACGAGAGGGCTGCATGTGTATATGTATATATATACATTGCATGTGTAAAATGCAGTTACAGGCAATGTACTCTGAGGTCGACAATTTCCAAGATAGATACATAATTACAAGGAACAAGCACACTGTTTTCCAAATATACTGTATTATTAAGTACGCGACAGTGAACAAAAGAGATTCATGATATTTGTGGGGTTTAGGAAAGAATTGCATGGCCTGTAGGCTTACTATGGGAAAATATTAAAGTCTTACGGTGGGATCAAACCCACGTACCTGTACTCTCCAAGCACACGCATTGCCGACTAAACTATATGAGTGTACCCCTGAGGTCAAGAGACGCGGATTAAATCCCACAGTATGGGTTCAACATTTTCCCATGTGATGCATATATGTTCAACACATATGCTTCACATTCTTCTAATGTAACAGTGGGTTTACTACATGATGGTGAGAGGGAATTTTGGAAACAACATCGCTACTCATATTGTTGTAATAAGAAATATTGTAATACAAAGAAATATCACACTACTTCTCTATTTCCACTCGCTAATAAAATCACTTTAGACTCTATCATGAAATGCACTTCAGTCAAGCAAACATAATTCTACACAGTGGCAAAATATCTCCCAAAAAATATATTGTGTTCTTTAACAATGGGAGTCCAACTTATTGGATTTTTCAATTTTTTATACTGCTTCAGGTTCAACAGTGTTCAACAGGGTTCAACATCTCTAAAGTATTACCGAGAAAGCAGGCACTCAAATTTCTACAAAACATTGTAATTTCTACAAAACAGGCACTTTACATTCTACAAAACTTCATGCTATGTCTGAACAGCCAGATCGTATAGCAAACTATACATTATTTTACAGGTCAAACTGGTACCTACCATACGTTTGAGCAAATGGTTGCATGAAGAAAAAGTACATGACATGAGCATAATTCTACCATGCAAATAATGGAAACTCCTGCATTGGATCCAAACAGCAGTTTATGCCCCACTACATATCCTAGATACAGACACACATCAAACAACATCATATGAAAAAGAATATGATTCAAGTATGTATCCTTTGTTACATATGATGAGAGCAATGACAAAACAGCCGCTATTGCTTAAAAAAAAATACAAAAATAAAAACAATGATAATAATATTAATGAAATATAAAAACGGTTCTCCTCTTAATTCCACACATGACGAGTGGCTGTAAGCAAAATAAAAAGTTCAGGAAACAGCCTGCTTAGTGGCGTATTGTGCAAGCAACAAAGCAACAAGCAGGAGCACAGGCCGCCACACACCTCATACTCCCTTCACCTACCATTGGGAAGCAACGGGCAGCAAGAACAGTAGTTGGTAGAGAAGGAAGGGCTTAGTTAGCTTTTTTTTATTCTAAACACTTAAACTCCTCAGAATCAAGTAAATCACTATCTCTGTTTATATATTATACATGTACATACATATTAAACATTAGTTAAATGAGTATCATATTCGTATCCAATATTTCATGATTCATCAGAGCAAAGTAGAATGTTTCTACTTTGTTTTAACTTTGAATGTTTCTACTACTTCATTCTACTTAGCTCCGATGAAGGCGAATTAGCCGAAAACGCGTTAAGCATTCTCTATTTTTCACATGTGGTTTTTCCGCATACTTGGATTTTTGATCATAATGATCACAATGTTTTTGTGATCATTGTTACATATATGTTTTGTGTGTGTGTGTGTAAAATACTGGATATGTATATGGTACACATCCAATTAATTTTGAAATCATCTTTTTTCCTATTCTCTGATAGACTGTGAAGACAATTTTTAGTAAATTATTTATGAATAACATTATATAAATTATAATTTCCAGAAATAACATAATATATCAGTTGTGTCTATTTACAAGGTACTATATTATTTCCCGGGTTTATGTAAACGTGTATTTGTTGCTCAGTTTGAGTGATGCTGTGAATGTGTTAATAGCCTGTTATTGTGTATGTATATATGTATGAGTTTGTGTGTGTGTGTGTGTGTGTGTGTGTGTGTGTGTGTGTGTGTGTGTGTGTGTGGTGGGAGGAGCATCAGCATGCACCCACCACTGGGGCTAACGAAGCCTCACTAGGCTATTCTCAGCACTAGCTAGGCTTCATGTCTGCTCTCTCTCTGGTCGTGGGGCCAGTAGCTATCTCCCTCTTCCTCTCCTTTACTTTCAATGCATTTAATATTTTCTGGCTGGCTTCCTTATTACTTCATGCCTTTATGGAAGAATATATGCATGCTCCCTTAAATAAAGGATGATATTTTTATTTTATTCTTTGAATATATCAAACTATTTTTATGTTATCTTTCTTAACAGAAAATATGTAAAATTAAGAACAAATGTTAATAAAAATTAATTGAAAATAAATATAATCGCTTATAATTTTTGGTGACATTAACAGGAAATCACAGTTGTTTGGTATCAAGTAAATTTCGACTCGGTTGCAAATGTACAGTTGCAAAAAACTGCATAAAAAGCAACAGCATTGTTTGCTTTAATTAATGAAGTATGTTCAGGACTAACGTATTCTTGCTCATTAGTTAGTGAGCTCTTATAGTCCTTTTGGGAAACCATCGTTTATTAGTGGAAACTATGGGAAATAAACGAAACTATAGCAACTTCTCTTTGTATATCAAATATCTAATAGTTCTGAACTATGCTCACGACTATAGTATACCTGCTAACTGGTTAGTACAACATAGTGCCATTAGTTATCCTAATAACTCTATTCATTGTCCTAATAACGTTTGAAAACGACTTAAACATATATATATTTTAAAATTTTAGTTTGTAATCTTAGGCAGCTGAATTTAGGCTATTATATTTCAGACTACATGAACTCAATGAAAGAGGGCTAAGAAAGTAAGTAACTTACTTACTTTTAAGTAACTTTACCTTTAAGTAACATAACTCCTTATAACAAAGAAGTATAACCCTTTTGTTATACTCACAAGTAACAATTAGATTCAATATCGAAAACTGAATTCCAAATAGCACTTGAATTCACCTTCCACACGTGTCTGATAGTAGTGTGTAAGTTAGAATTCCATACGATCTTCTAATAGCGATACTACCTATGCTCACTATGAGTCACTTTAACGTGGCTGTAGATATGATGACCAAAACAAACATCGAAAAATGAAAAAAACGACAACGTTTCAGTCCATCCTGGACCCATTACCCGACTTGATAATAGACCAGAACGGATCGAAACATCGTCGTCTCTTAATTTTCTGATGTGTGGTTTGGTCATCATAATACTTTTAATAAAAAATTTGGTCAGTCGTGCAAAAATGTACTGATGGAACCCAAAATAGTCCACATTTTGAATTGTTGAATGAACTCAATTTGTTGAATGAACTCAATTTGTTGAATGAACTCAATTTGTTGAATGAACTCAATTTGTTAAATGAACTCAATTTGTTGAATGAATTTGTTGAATGAATTTGTTGAATGAACTCAATTTGTTGAATGAATTTGTTGAATGAACTCAATTTGTTGAATGAATTTGTTGAATGAACTCAATTTGTTGAATGAATTTGTTGAATAAACTCAATTTGTTGAATGAATTTGTTGAATGAACTCAATTTGTTGAATGACCTACTACAAAATGTGGAAAGTAACTAGCGAACCAGCCTAACCTACCCAAGACGTAAACAAACACGACAAAGCCTAAAATACGCTATATTAAACCTAATATAGTACAAGTATTCCTATACTAGGGCTAGAAATGCTTAAGTTTTTTGCCCTCCACAAAATTCACTGCAAAATACGAGAGCAGTGTTTGCTGCAACAGTCCATTTTTGTACGTTCAAGCAAACAGTTGTTATAAGTACAGTATTATAAGAGTGGGTTGTAGAATTAGCCATACCGCGGCCATCTTCCCGGTGAGCAAGTTGTCTTACAAGGAACTGAACAGAGCTTATACCAGCAAGGGTTAAGAGACCATTCTATGGTGCTGATTGGAGGAACGATTGGAGAGAGAACGATTGGCTGATTGGAAAGTATTCTCCAAAACGTAAGGTTGTGAGACCTCTGTCTGAGGAAAACACACCGCTGAGTCCACTACACTTAGTAACCAGAGTCCAAATTCACGAAGCATTTACGCAAGTACTTACGAACGTGTACATCTTTCCTCAATCTTTGACGGCTTTGGTTACATTTATTCAACAGTTTACAAGCATGAAAACGTCCCAATCAACTGTTGTTATTGCTATAAACAGTCTCCTAGTGCTTCGGAGCTCATTAACTGTTTAATAATAGTAAACAAAGCCGCCAAAAGTTGAGAAAAGCTGTACAGGTTCGTAAGTGCTTACCTAACTGCTTCGTGAATCTGGCCCCAGCTAGTCCACTGCTGAACCCACTACACGTAGTGACCAGTGATAATGCACTGAACGTGTGCTAGAAATACGTTAATCATTCATTTACATTCTGTATTTAAGGTGCTAGTATTAATGTCTATATGATATTCCTAAATATAAATCACCTTGCTGAATGACGACACTGAACAAAAAGATAGTCATGAAAATATGATTTAGCTCTTCTGAAAATGCTTTAACATCAAACTGCATAAATTTGAATTGAAATTTACAAATGAAGAAATTCTATAATTGGAAGCGATTATTTGCAACAGCATCAGGCGTTAGGCAATTAAACCCATTCTAAAACAGCAAATAATGTTAGTTGAGACGAAATTAGCAATAGCCTTCAACAGTCTTCTGTACGCGTTCTGAAAGAGGAAATATTAGCCGGTGAATATTAAAAGGGGGTTAAAGAGGGGGTTGAGGGGGTTAAAACCCCCTCAAACCCCGTTTGTGAGTGGTTAAAAGGGTTAAAACCAGGAAAACGAGCTTACCAGCTTGTACGGTGATTGCCTCGGTAAACTGCTCTTTCCAGGAGGAGGAGCCAACGAGCATGGAGGCGTTAGCCTTCTTCACCAGCTTGTCCACCATGTTCTGAAGGGAGAGGACACCGTGTTACTGCCGCCTTCCTGATGTCGCCTGATTCACGCTCCTTATGGCAAGGCTATAATAGATGTTTGTCACTGTTTAGTCATCATTCTTGTAACGATATCAGAACTGAGGAGACTCAAAATAATGTTCTGTCTGTTTAATGCTGTTCGACCTTAGCATCTTCCCTACTGGGTCACTTACAAGGGAGCCAAGCGGTCCAAGTATAAACAGTAATGGCCATTTTGTCTTAAGAGAAATTGATTTGTTTTTATTCTGAAAGCGGCGTTGAAGTTATTTAGGATTTCTATGGTGGTACGTACCCAGTAGCTGTCAGATCTACTAATGATTTGCCAAAATATATATATAAAAAGCAATTCATATATGGTGTCTTGGAGTTGCTGTACACGGGGTAGATAAGATGAATATTTTCTATGAGCAAGACTTGTCTAAGGCCACCAATACTGATTGCCATGAAGCAACAGAAGCAAGGGGTTGAGAGCTCATTTGGTACCTCAGTGTTGTCTGAAACAGTTATGGGAGAGCTACCACTACACTGCAACCAAGGGTTTACACTGCATAATTAAGCTCTATCACTTCATGAACTGATGAGTGTACAGTGATGATTTTCTTTACAACATGAAGTATAAGTTGACCAGATCACACACTAGAAAATGAAGGGACGACGACGTTTCGGTCCGTCCTGGACCATTCTCAAGTCGATTGCGACGGTCCAGAACGAACCAGGACGGACCGAAACGTCGTCGTCCCTTCACTTTCTAGTGTGTGGTCTGGTCAACATATTTCAGCCACGTTATTGTGACGCATCGTCAGCATATGTAGTATAACCTTGTTATAACCTTAGAAACGATCATATTTTTTCCGTGTCAAGTAATTTGGAATATTATTTAATGGTCACAGTAAAGATCTAGACAGGAATCATACTTTACTGTGATAAAAGCAGGAACTGTCCACTAGCTTTCCAATTACAGGCAAATGCTCTCCCACAGAATCGTTAAGGCTGAGTCACACATGCGTTTACACCCAGAAACTGGACCTTAACGACAGAAGTGATTATTTCACTGCAACACTCATTTTTAACGACGAATTCAACGATGGCCTTCACACTTTGATAAACAATTTACAAATAATTATCGAGAATTAGTCTTCTTTGGCGTCTCGAATTTCTTAATTTGTTCGCATCATTGGAAAACCTGTCTCACGGCCTACCTGTGTCTGGGTTAGTTCTCAGACCTGACTTTTTTTTAATCCCTTTATGCATTTGGCAACACAAACCCATCAATCATCATAATATACACTTTGGTGTATATCTATAAATAATTCATTCTTTTATACCTATAGATATTAGTATGTATACTTATAGATTTTGCTGTGTACCAACATATACTGGTGTATATCAATATATATCCAGTATCTACCTCTATGTTTTACCTCGAAAAGGATTCATAGTATCGTAAACTAGAATATACGTAGATCAACACTTATATACACAAATGTTTCAATATTTTTTACTCCTTATTGGCAACATTGAATACTATTTGACTCATTGTATCTGTGAACCTTAATATGATACAGTAGTATAAAGTGTATGTGTGTATATATATATACATATATATATATATATATATATATATATATATATATATATATATATATATATATATATATATATATATATCGTATAATATAGAACTCATATACTATTCAAGGCCCGATATGCCTAATAAGCGAGTATGCGTCTACCTAACCTAATAACCTAACAACCTAGCGTACCTATGCTAGTTGCAAAATATGCTTAGGTGGGGTAGGGTTGGTTATTTCGTTATATCTACAAGTTAGTAGGAAAAAAATTATAGTGTACATTGTTGGCTACAAGTTAGTAGGCTGAGAAGTGAGTTCTGGCTAGTGTACGACATTGTTTACAAGTTATGAGCGTGGAGTGTAGTTGCAAAACTGGTGGGATTGTTTACAAGTTAGTGGAGTGTACATTGTTTACAAGTTAGTGGAGTGTACATTGTTTACAAGTTAGTGGAGTGTACATTGTTTACAAGTTAGTAGAGTGTTCACCTGGTATTTCTTGTTTTGGGCTTGTCAGCTCTATTCTGTGAGTTTGTAAGGCCTCTTGTTGTTAGTAAGTTTGTCTGCTCTAATACTGTCATTAACTTTCTCAGCTCTGAAGCTAACACTATGTTTCTAATGTCCTTTGCTGTCAAAAATGTTGTCAGGTGTTCTGTTGTTAATTCGTCTGTTAGGTGTAATGCGGTAAGCACGTTTCTCACGACTCTTGCTGTCTATAAGTTTGACAGGTCCCCTGCTGTCAGCAACTTATATGTATGTATGAGTATGAGTAAGCTTGTCATCTATAATGCTGTAATAAGTTCATCAAGTATCGTGCTGTCTATCATATATATATATATATATATATATATATATATATATATATATATATATATATATATATATATATATATATATATATATTGAGCTCCTGTCAATAAGCATATTATCCCTCCTGTAGTTTTCTTCCAAGAAAGTTTATCAGTAAATATTTTGTTTTTCCCCTAGGAATTGACTTGTTTAAGCAATCTTAAGAGGCGTTCTAAGACGATGGCAAGTTTGTGATTTTTTACTGAGTATATATGCTGAGAGGAAAGACTGGGTTTACTAAAAAATTACTCAAACTAATTTAAATACAACGGAAATATCTTTCACTGCTAAAGTCTATTTAATCTTAACTAAAACATTACATAAGTTAGTTAACTTGTCTATTTTTTTTCAAGAAATACAGGATTCTAATTCAACCAATTTTGCTTCTCTGTACTTGACACATTTCGCCTTTAATTATTACGTAAAATTAATATACCAAATGAGCTCTCACAAAGCATAGATGGCCGTGCGCCGCGGGCAGCTGGATCTACTACACATTTTACAAAAAAGTTACCGGTAAATTCCTTACAGAGAGATATTCATTGACCACGGAGTCCATCACTTTCTGCAAGGCGGTGAAATTTGATTGAATAATGGCCCCAGAAGCATAAATTATTAATATGATGTTGCGAAGGATGAAACGTGTCAAATGAGGGAGTGAGGGGATAGCTTTTTGGAAAACTGAACTGAATGCGCCAAAAAATTTCGAAAAAGGAATCTATTCACATGGTGATTTTTCAGGATATTCGATGCAAAAAAATATGGAGGTTGGGGTCATCAAGGGACACATCTTGTGGGCTGTTTGTATGAATATTAAGTTTCCTGTTTATCTTGTGTTTGTAAGTCATGGCTGACGAAGCTAAGCTCTTCATCTAAACTGCAGCGCAAAATTTTGCAACTAAGTGCATTTACCGGGATATTCTGCCTTACTCAAGTTTAGTGGTGTGTGTGTGTGTGTGTGTGTGTGTGTGTGTGTGTGTGTGTGTGTGTGTGTGTGTGTGTGTGTGTGTGTGTGTGTGTGTGTGTGTGTGTGTGTGTGTGTGTGTGTGTGTGTGTGTACTCACCTATTTGTACTCACCTATTTGTACTTGCGGTGGTTGAGTTTTGGCTCTTTGTGTGTGTGTGTGTGTGTGTGTGTGTGTGTGTGTGTGTGTGTGTGTGTGTGCTTGCGTGTGTGTGTGTGTGTGTGTGTGTGTGTGTGTGAGTGCGCACGAGTATACGTCTTCTGTCTGTGACCATAGTGATAGTGCTTTGTATAACTCTTTACTGGTTTATATCGATTATACGACCCGTCTCTTATCTCATCAATATATACCTTCGTGAAAATGGTATTTATTTGTTAACTCAGTATCAGAATATCGAGAATCTAAATAATGCTAAATGTAAATAAACACATATACACACACACTATTCACCCCTTACCCTCGCAAGAACACACACGTGCATACAAACACACTCACATATACCTATACACCGGGAGAATTAATTTAGTAGTTTTTCAACAAATCCGGAATTTACGGGAATATGAAACAGGTAAAAAGTTTTGAATATTTAGGAATTGTGATCAATTATTCAAAAAAATAGGAATTGTGATCAATTATTCAAAAAAATAGGAATTTAAAATTGGTAAACAACTGGCTAAAAACAAGATGAATTATCTATTTCTTCACACCTGAACTGTATCATTAAATTGGAAAATGAGTGTGATTGTATAATGTGATATGGCATAATAGACTGATGTCAGGTGATAGACTGTATCATGACGTCAGGTGACAGACTACATCATGACGTCAGGTGACAGACTACATCATGACGTCAGGTGATAGACTGTATCATGACGTCAGGTGATAGACTGTATCATGACGTCAGGTGACAGACTACATCATGACGTCAGGTGATAGACTGTATCATGACGTCAGGTGACAGACTACATCATGACGTCAGGTGATAGACTGTATCATGACGTCAGGTGATAGACTGTATCATGACGTCAGGTGACAGACTACATCATGACGTCAGGTGACAGACTACATCATGACGTCAGGTGATAGACTGTATCATGACGTCAGGTGACAGACTACATCATGACGTCAGGTGACAGACTACATCATGACGTCAGGTGATAGACTGTATCATGACGTTAGGTTACAGACTACATCATGACGTCAGGTGATAGACTGTATCATGACGTCAGGTGACAGACTACATCATGACGTCAGGTGACAGACTGCCGTCAGGTGACAAGATGATGTCAGGTGACAAACTGACGTCAGATAACGTGCTGAGGGGTAAAATAAGGGTAGCCATATAGAAAGCCAATATATAAACAAGGTAGTTCAGACAACTACTGACTTAAAAAGCTGTTAATAACACTGAATCTTCAACAGGACTACCTACAATTATTGAAGCCGAGAAACCTATGCAAGTTTTAAATATAGGAAGAATTGCACTGTTCATTTCCACTCATGTCAAGAAACCGGTTAAGGACAAGGAAAAAATAACGTGAAATGACAGTATCAGGTCAGGTTACAAACTGAGATGAGGAATCAATGTGACATATTCAAATGAGATGGTATAGGTTGATTGATGATTGATGAGGATTAAGCCACTCAGAACAAAACGTTCCAAGTAGCACGGGCTATGGTGAGCCCGTAGTGGACTTACCTGGCACAGGCGCGGGACTGGTACTGTGTCAGGATGATGATGTTGTTGTTTTAGTATATATCACAGTAACTGTGTTACTGTGATATATAGGATGATATAAAGGTGACATTATAAGGTAGTAGAGTGAGGGTGTAGCAAACTGATATGACATGACGAGATAAAGCAAGGGTAAGTGATGAACAAAATAAACAAGATAACAAAAGCCAGATGTGCCATAAGGTGATAAACTAAAGTTATCTGACAATAACAGAGCTTACAAAACCAAAAGGAATGAGACAATAAATGAATGTGATATCAGGTACTCCTGATGATATCACATTGCTGACGAAACCTCGAACAATTAAAATTGAAAGATGAAATGATCAAGTGTTTCTTCACCCTCAAGATGGTAGAAGATATTTGCATAGAATGGAAAATATCCAAATAAAATTAATAAGTCACAATGCTGTTGTGTTTAATGACATATATATATATATATATATATATATATATATATATATATATATATATATATATATATATATATATATATATATACTTCTCACTCCAAAATACTCGCCCGAGTCGAAGCAGTGTCGTCTCTCGTCTCATTTCTGACACGAATGTTTACTGTGAGAGACAGACGCTTTCAGTACTGATTACTTCACTGAGGCAGAACAAAAATTCACACTAACCCGGTACTCCTTGTTTTCCTTGACCCTAATTTGGGTTCGAGTGGAGTTGCCGAGCTTAGGCTTGCCAAGGAGAGCGATTTTCTCTTCTTCAGTCAGTGCAGAGTCCTTGCTGGCGAACTCGAAGCCTAGTTCGTCGTCTGAAAGTATTGGGAGCGGGTAAGGTGATGGGTCACACTGAGAATTCTGGCACGGATGAATCGACTGCTTTGTGCGTAGAGGCTGGTAAACGTTCTAAGTGTATTCTGTGTAGAGGGTCATAAACTGTCTAAGTGTTTGCTGTTTTGGGTTAAGAGGGTTGTATTCCATCTTAGTGAATGGTGTTTTATGTATTGAGGGGTCGTAAACTATCTTCGTGTGTGTGTATGGGGTATTGTGTGTAGATTGTAAACCTTCTTAGTGTATTCTATTTTGTGTGATAAAGCTGGTAAACTATCTTTATTGTATTCTGTTTATGTATAGAGGCTTTGTGAATGTTTGTGAGTTTCCTTCTAGTTCCTAGAATATTTATTCATTTATTTAAATCTTATGTACTTCTTTCTGTTATTAATAACAATTTATATTTGAATACAGTTAATGAGTAATTTGCTTTATATAAAAAATCTTTAAGCAGACAGGATCATGCTTTTTGATGTGTGATCACGATCAATCAGGATATCTTGATCTTAATAACCGGTACTAGCATTATAATTAATAATTACTGGTACATATATTATCCCTGATATTTTATAGCTTGATATTTTATTTTATACTAAAATTTTATAATTTGATATTTGATAATAGCTTGATATTTTAAAAGTCCCATACTAAAACAATTCCCGCACATTCTCTTGCATAAAACAGCCGAAGTCAACAGAGCCAGTTTTCTGTATATTATGTTCAATAACACCTCCGGATGTTCAACAACACCACAGAATGTTCAACAGCACCACAGAATGTTCAGCAAGCACTACAACTCAGCCATAGCCGAAGACGACAGCTATCAACAATTACTATATATACATATCTTCTATTACTCGTTTTTTGTAAATAATCAGCATTTGTGTTTATATCCTGCAACAAAATAGCAAAATGGACAAAAATTGGCAAAATCAGTGCTAAAGATGCAAAGCAGAAATTTTAATCTTTAACTGATTGACACAAATAGTTAAAAATATAAGAGTTAAATTATATAAACATATATGTTTAAAAGATCAAGTTAGACAAATAATGGGAAAAATATTGATAAAATATGCAATAATACTTTAAGAGTTAATTTGTATATTAAATGATCATTAGAGTAAACATTTCATCTGAACAATTCCAGCTGAACAATGAAAAATGTAACTTAAATGGAAAAAATATATATCCTATTGTTAGTTAAGAAGATAGAGACACAGAGAGCATACAGAGAGCATACAAGGGACAAACCAATGAATACCACAGAACACCAAAGCAAACAGGATTAGTTAAAGTATACAAGGGGGCAGGATGCAGCTACCTAAGTCATAATCAAAATATTCTACAAGGTAGTTCATACTGTCTTTGAGATCATGAACCTCTATGGCAATATACCTTTTCGCAATCTTCTCTTTCTGATCTTTTTCACTGGAGGTTCTGCATGAAATTATATGTAAAAATAGGGGCATAAAATAACTTGTGAACTGAAAGTATGACTGATACAAATCATTCTAAATTACATACAAAAAATCAGTATTTGTATACTGAGGATATGTGCGGTGAATAGGCAGATTTGGAAGAGGTGTTTTATCATGCAAGCTTGAACTGCCTCTACTCTCGTTCATATCTGCTGCTCTGGGAAGAAGATTTTGCATGATTTTGTGATTAATTATAAAATCTGTATTAAATAAAGATTTTGCATGATTTTGTGATTAATTATAAAATCTGTATTAAATAAAGATTTTGCATGATTTTGTGATTAATTATAAAATCTGTATTAAATAAAGATTTTGCATGATTTTGTGATTAATTATAAAATCTGTATTAAATAAAGATTTTGCATGATTTTGTGATTAATTTTAAAATCTGTATTAAATAATCTCCAACGTAAATCTTCGTCTCAAGATTTCAGCTACAAACAAGACACACCCAAAACTACTTAACTACCGGCTCAGTACTGGGTAGTTTGAATATCTCTAATCATGCCGACCCAATTGTACTTAGGGTTAAAAAACTTTTTTTTATATTCTTTCATGAATGTTAAACCCTCTTGCATACATCCAGAACACTGACATCTCTGACCTCACCAATCTGTTTAATAATGATTATGAAGTCAACTTAATGGCCTTAACAAGCTTCAGTAAACACAGAGTGATCATATATTGGTGAGTAGAAAGAGTAGGGCTCAACCTTGCTTCAGTTTAGGGACTGATGATTAGCAACACCTAGAGAGGGATGAATGAGTGTCTACACCCTTAGCAAAACCAGGCTGCATTGAAGGTTGCATGATCAGGGCATATTGAGGGTTGCACACCTATGTTGCACTGGAAGGGGGGTACATCCAAGGTATACTGCTGGTTGGCTCACCCCCCAGGGTATACTATGTGTTTACACACTCAGAGTATAATGTGGGTTGAGCCAATCAGCATTGTCATTCCAAGCAACACCTTTTAGACTATTGCGAAGCTTGCCTCTTGCAAACTATTGCTTCCTCAGTGTGTTTCGTCCAGTTCAAGGACGGTCCAACACCTGATGACACTTCAACAGTTTCAAAGTCTATAAAAACAAATAAAATATTACATTTATTCTGCAAGAGGACAATGCTTCGCTGGAGTCTTCGTTGCTCTGCAGACAGACCAACTAGCAACGAGTGAAGTGTTCGTACCATCTGACTCGAATTAGGTCATTCATCTATCCTTTAACAAAGCAAGAATTTTTTTTAAAATTCCAGCTTTGAAAGATTGATCATTAATGTTAACGAATCAATTGCGATTCGTAGGAATTACCTTCAATGTTAACAATTCCTCAACACACAAGTTAGATGGTAAGACAATTTACACCAGTTTACCAACAGCTTATTTACACAATATCAAAAGATCATTCGAGGAGAGTACAGATCCCAACTCGGGAGGGAAAGGGGAGAAGGAATATGAACTTCAAATTACCACGATGCAGTGGGAAGGGGGTACCGCTTGCAAAGGTTCACAATATGCAAGTGCATGAACAACTTGACTACAGAACTACGAGTGTGGGAGAAGGTTACAAACTACCAGCAAGCGACATTCTTCATTCATCGCTCAAACGAAGACCACGGGCCACTTACATCGATGGGAAACAGGCGATACCAATTTGGATTTATTTATACACAGGGCGAGGAGGAGAAGAGAGTGGAAAAAACCATTAGATCATATACAGCTAAAATATAAATTGCTTCTAGAGTGATGAGGGGTCATATAATTAGGTTATAATTGCTAAAGGACTTAAGCTCCGGTAGTCAGACGCCAAACAAGTGTGACATTACTGACTCTAGACCTGACTGTGCCTTCACTGACAAGCAAACAGGGTGAACTAGAAGCAGGGGGGGGGGAGGGTGTTACAGAAGACTATTGAAGTTGGGGAAAAGTATATCTAAAGAAATGATTTAAAAAAACTAAATCCATTAAAATCTACACTGCAAATAGGGTGACACTTACGTAGAATAAACCATTTCAGTGCATGAGAAGCAAGTGGGGGGCTTAAAAATGATTTTGTGACTTATTAATAGCTTTTATAGCTGTCATTAATTACAATAAAACTAAGGGAAAATTCTAATGTAAGATAAAAAAGAAGAGATGCGTCATGTTAGTCTTGAAATTATTTGACACAATTGGGATTCAGACACACTTGAAATTATGTGACATTGTTGAGTAGAGAACGTGGTCCTTCTCTAACCTGATGAGGCATCTCCCTTGTTGTATACAACATACATAATGTGAATAACATAATATATATATATATATATATATATATATATATATATATATATATATATATATATATATATATATATATATATATATATATCATATATATATATATATATATATATATATATATATATATATATATATATATATATATATATATATGACTAGGAAACTAGAAGATGGCAGGCAACGTAGTCACTGAAAAGATAGTCAACATATCATTTCCTAGCAAATATATACTCCATCACAACATATTCCTAATATTAATTTTATTCTAGACAAGGGACCATTAAATTATATTTTGACAGGAAGCATTTTAATTGTACTTATTAAGTGCGTTAACCTTCATAATATTTAATGAGAAATTCTTCTAATTCAATCCAAAAATGTTTCTTTTTGAAAAGAACGTTTTTGGTCATATTAGATATTTAAAAGCAAATTAGCTTTGTTAATTATTAATATTTTTAGACTAACTTGTTAATACATGAAACGATATTAATAGCGAATGTAAATGAGACCTGTAACAAAATATATATATATATATATATATATATATATATATATATATATATATATATATATATATATATATATATATATATATATATATATATATATATATATATATATATATATATATATTATTTACCTATGACTGAGCATTTCATAAAATTAAGATAGACATCTATAAAAGTTGAAAATTGCACAGAAGAACATATTAAACTGTTTTGTGCATTTGTAAGGAAAATTAATGTAAACTAAATTATTTTCAATAATCAGAGCTTGATAAATTCAACAGATAAACATCAACTTTATTACGTTCGACTGTTTACGTTACACATGATAATATATAATCAGTATTAACTACCTATAAATTATACAAAAATAATTTCATAGGACAAAATGGTTGAACTGAAAAATTACTTTTAATGTGACCTGCATATTTACCCACACTCTGCAATACTGCAAGGATGAATTAAGTAAAAAATTATGCAATATTTTTAAAAAGTCCTGCCTAGCCCAACCCTCGTTTCTAAGGTCCGTCTGAGTCCTACAGAAGACCACCCGTGTATCCTACGAGTCCAATCTATTCCCGAGGTTGACTTATGTCAGCCAAGAGACTGTATAAGAGTCCACCCACCTCCAGTAGCTACAGGCTCGCCGATGTCCAGGTAGAAGAGCACGTCCTTCTCGTAGCTGTCCTCCTCGATGATCTGGATCGATATGGTTTTCCTGTGGAAGACACATAAGGTGTTACCACATAACGTATTATTTATGTAACTTTGTACAAAATCAGAAACTCTAAACTAACTTGAAACCATGCAAATATTGTTGCAGATACTTCCTCAATATTATCTTTAATGGTAATGTATTTAGTGAGTGTCGAATCTTATTATAATTATAACTCTACCACATCCATTTAGTTACTCTTTCTGTCTTGGTTCCTGATGTTTGGATCCCTAACTTTATACAGCATTCACACGATAAAATTCGTGTGAATGCAAAAACAAATTAATTGCTTTAAAATGCTCTAAAGCAAATCAACAAAATTATCTCTAATAATGGCCCGTTAACTGAAAGTAATTAACAATGCTGAATTTCTGAATACCTCTTTATTTGTTCACCTCACAGGCACCTCCATAGAAGCCAACAGATCACTGCTGTAGCTCAAGGCAAAGAATATACAAGCTGAATATACATAGAATATACAAAGAGTATACATCGAATAAACAAAGTCACTGAAAGTCGGATAATATCTCAAAATGAATTCTTATCAAAACTAAATAAAATGTAATTAAAGTGGGGTTACTCTACGCTGTAAAATGTAATTATCCTTCATGAAAATCAAGACATTCAAAATCGCCGCTTGATATGTATAAAGAAATCTCTAATTTGCAAGTAAGAAGACTGCGGTTCACCGTAAGATAAATTGTCGAAAAAGGAAATGAAACCTTGGGGCGTAAGGCACCTCTGGACACTATTAAGGAAGCCAGCGAGGGACTGCATCACAGAGAAGCCAGTGAGAGCGGTGTCAAGGAAGTTAACACAGAACCTTCTTGGCTAAACCACAGCACGAATTTTTATATTATCTTTTTACTTGACTGTATGTTGGCTTTGTCACAGTAGATACAGAATGAAAGGGAGGATGCCCGTGCTTTTATCTGAGGCTGTATTGTCGTAGTGACCTTGACAGAAAACTTTGACAAGAAGCGTTATTAAGTGCGATATGGATTCTTTTGGGCATTCTTTGCCTTGAGCTACTGCAGTGATCTGTTGGCTTCTATGGAGGTGGCTGTGAGGTGAACAAATATGGAGGTATTCAGACGTAAAGATAAAGAACCTGTATATTAGTGTGTGTGTGTGTGTGTGTGTGTGTGTGTGTGTGTATTATACACACAAACACACACACACACACACACACACACACACACACACGCGCGCGCGCGCGCGCGCGCACACACACTCGTGTGTGCTCACCCTACTGGGCTCTATTCCTAGAGCCCAGTAGACTCAGGAATCTGTACATCAGTTGATTGATAGTTGAGAGGCGGGAGCAAAGAGCCAGAGCTCAACCCCCGCAAGCACAATTAGGTAAGTACACACACTAATATACAGGCTCAGTATACACCTTCACCTGAAAAAGCTCAGGACTAGGTATAAACCAAATCCTATAGATTTCGAAGGTATAATATACCTTCGAAATTATACCAAAGTTAACCCCTGGAGAGTTAGAGGAAAACTCTATCCATCCCATCAAAGTCTCAAGAGTTCGTCGGGGCAGAAAGCGTGAAAACCTTTAAAGTAAAACTTAATCGTCAAAACTCTCCCAAGAAACGCCTTCAAAGAACCATTAATTCTTGTTTAAAATGCTAAAAAAATACTGTTCCAGAAAAGAAAATCGAACTTAGAAAGAGTTGAAGTTTTTTTTATGAAGTTGGAACCCTTGTTTAATAATGAGATTAATGAGGTACGGTTAAGAGCGGGAAGATTATGAGGTTATGTCATTGCTTAAAAGTTCCTCCATAATGTGAAGTGTAAAATATCTCGCACAGCCATACATGCTACGACGTTGGTACAATGTTTGAACAAGTTTTAACACCTCGTAACCAGTTATAACAACCAATATAGCAAGTTGTAACAACGTTCTAATACGTCATAAACACGTTAAGCCAAGATGTAACAACTTTATTACAAGTTGTAACAAGCGGAAAATAGAGACATTTTCGGTTTGTGTTTCCAGGGCAGTCGGTCCAAAAAATAATCAGGAAATTATATTGCAACACAAGCAACTGAATAGAAATCTTATTGCTAGTTGCTACGCATTTATAATACGTTAAAAAGGTGTTACTGCTGCTGCATCACTCAAGTATTTGCTATTTGTCCACTATAATATAACACAAGATCAATTAAGCAAACAAATTACGATAAAGTTCTCATTCAGCAATTGCATGATAACGCAACCATAAATACAGTGAACTGAAAGATCAATGCAGACAAAATGACTCTAACAGCAGGTGACCTGACCCTGGATTACCCTGATGAAGATTACGACAATGAACAAATCCACAAGGGCCGTGACGAGGTTTCGAACCTACTTCCGAGAGGATCCCAGACACTGCCTTAATCTATTCATTTGATGCATCACGCTATTGTGATTTCTGTGTGTAGATTACGACCAATTTAAAGCTGTTCTTCTTGAAGATAAGATACATTATATTACGTGTAAATCACTGGGGTGGAGAAATATAATTATTAGACTTAAGTAATATTTTGACAACCGGGAGATAGAGGAATATAGTAATCAACCAAATATAAATAAGATTCTAAAAATCTAAATCAAAGTTTGAAAACAAACCAATGGATTGAAATTGAATATGCTTAGATTCATAAAATAAACAGATAAACAGTGGTTCAGAACCAGGGTTGTAGATCTGTTGAACAAACTAAAAAGTAAGATCTCTGATGAAAATTCACTGGAAAGTTCAAACATAAGTTGGCTACATGAAAGCCACGTGTGGGTGGATATAAATAACAGATTCATGAACCTGCCAATAGGTCTATTGCAGATTCCGTTATTCATGTGTTTTGAACTGCATCCTTCAAACAGGTCTTCCGGTAGGTGTTATATAGTTGAGATGTACGGCTGATTAAAAATAAATGTACATAATTTACCATTAACAACAGCGAACGGCTTACTAACCGAACACAATAGGGTATTATTAACTAAGATCATTATGAAGTTATCAAAGCTCATTAACTTTAACCCCACAAATCTCTCTCATAGCCCCTGCTGCTTGGAACTTTTTGTTCCGGGTAGCGAATCTTAAACAACAACAATCCCCCAATCTCATTTAAAGATATAAACGTTAACCAGTAAAATAACTCATGGCAATCCCCGAAACTTAGTTGGAAAAGGTGTTTACTAAGTCCAGCAAAATCGTAGGAAGAAGGTATTGAGAAACTTTAAAACGCTCTTGTCCAGAACAGAGATAAAAGTCTACTTGTTTACTGTGTGCTTGTAAAGTGTAAACTAGTAGAATTTTGCCTTTGTATCGAACGTCTGAATATTTAAAATTTCTTTAGAAACCTCTGCTGGCTTTTTTGTGGGGTGAGGATGGAGGGGGGGAGAGACGGTTTACTCAAATCTTGGTAAAGTCACAGCTTAATCTGATTTAGAAATTAACATAATTTTTGTTAGAATAAGTTAATGAAGAAACAAACTTGCTAATATTTAGTGAGTAACTTAGTAGAAAAATATATGATGATAGCAGCCTCTGAATCTTTAAAAGTCCTTGATGTTCCGCTTTCAAAACAAACCGAAAAGTGACATTACATTTTTTTCCAAATCCCCATGAATGTTATTTGACACTTGAAATTGTTTTTATGATATTCTTGTTGCTGTTTTCCCTGTCAATAAACCTGCCACTCTTTTCACAGGTGGGTGTGGGAACAGACGACTGCTGACTCCTGTTAGCAGGCTGAGAGCTTGCTCATCCCACAGCTCATGGTAAGCCGTACCCACTAGAATGGTTTAGCAACCAGGTACCCAATCACATCTGGGTGAACGAAGGCGTACAGTTAAGGACTGGTGTCTAGTCAATCCTCTCCGGCCAGGATACGAACCTAGGCCAAATCGCTCGTGAAGCGAGGGGCGAGTGTGTTACCATAGCGCCACCGGGAATAATATGGGAAACAGAGAATTTCCTCAGTGGGCCCAATTTTCAAGATTAACAACAATTCAATGTCGAATCAGCGACATCAACGTTGACTGAACGTTGATGACGCGGGTTCAACAACGAACCAACGCTACGTTTAGATATTGTGTCCACAGGGGTATTTCACCTGTTCCTAGTCCAGGTCTCATGTCACAGCCTATTGAACCGTGATTGGTGTTATGCTTTGGTTCTTTGTCTCTTTAAGGCTCAGTGATTGACACAAACAACCTATTAGTCCTGGATTCGAGTCTCAGACAGGGTGAGACGTTTGGGTAAGCTTCGCAACACATGATGCCATGTTCACCAAGCAGTAAATAGGTACCTGGGAACTAGTCAACTGGTGTGCTTTGCATCTTGTGAAAGTTCAGTAGTGGCCAAGAGAACACTGCTTAAAAGGCTTTCCGTCTCCGACTACAAGATACCATATAGACTATCTTCCTCTGTGTTATTTTATATCAGTTCTGTTACATGACGTTCTCAAGAAATTTTCTGATTTTTTTATTACAAATATCCTTCTCCAAGCTCTTGCAAAAGTTTACAAATCCATTGCAAAATCAAGAACTGAAATACCAATATTAATAAGGTTTCATGCAGGCGATGAGTCACAATAACGTGGCTAAAGTAAGTTGACCAGACCACACACTAGAAGGTGAAGGGACGACGATGTTTCGGTCCGTCCTGGACCATTCTCAAGTCGATTCAAATAAGGTTTCATGACTATGCAACAGACGGAACCTCTTCGCTACCTGCATTCACTCAATAATCACTAAGAGTCGTATGCATTCAATAAAAAACGAAGCGTTGTTTGTTGTCCAATCTTCCATCGACCAGACGGGAATAGATCCTAAAAAAAGGGCAAAATATTTATATTGCGACAACTTCTTTGTTGTCTCTATTTAAACAAAATTCTTTTTAAGATTAAGAGTTGTTTTCGTGTCTCCCGACACTCTTGATTTCCTTCCGGTGATGAGATTGCTTAACCTTTTTCCTTCATGTAGGCGGGGAAGCAGTCGCAAT